GCTCAAAAGGTTCGCCATCACTGCCTTAGAAGAATAGATTAATTTGACCAGTATTTAATATCCTTAGAATTATGGATTAAATATTAACATTGTTTTAAATTGGCATGTGGCTTCTGGAAGGGACTGAGCCATTCTGCAGCCATAGTCTGTGATTCGTGATATCTGAAGCGTAAGGACCAGAGGCAGGGCCACACGTAGGGAAGAAGACTCAGGAACTCCCTGATTGGCTAACTCCAGACCATTTCCCCCTGATGCCCACATGACAGCCACCACAGCAGGAAGCACTGTCCACAGCACACAAAGGACCATGGGAAAGCTCATTTTCAGAACATTCAACGTAAGAAAACTGGAGGCAGACGATTATTCAATCCTTATCACTCAAGTCCAAGGTGACACTGACTTGTTATTAATTGATTTCAAGGTAAATGACCAACTGTTCACCCAGCTGGGAACGTCCAAGGGTCAGACCAGAAACACGTTGAAGGAGAGACACCAACCAGAAGCAGCATTTAAAGGTCACAGTCCCCAGGGTTGGCCGGAGTTCATGGGGCCCAAATGGGCAAATAGGGGGTGGAGGGTGGCTGTGCATCTGGTGTGAAAAGGAAGTTATAATTCCATCGAGAAGCTAACTCAAGAAACATAACATAACTCTGAGAAAGTTTCCAAAGGTTTAATGCCACATGCTCTGCAAATGTGAAGATAAAATGGAAGCATGTATTAGCTGACCTGTAATTCCAAAATTAAAACTGAAGTTATTCATTATTTCCTTCCACTGACACTGAGAGGACCCCACATACAAAAGCAACTGATCTGGACACCACCTGACCACGACGGGAGGAGGTTTCCTGTCACCAATCTGAGGGCACAACGTGGTTTTAATAGACGATGAATGGGCCAGCCTGCAGGACATGCCTGCTGGCTGCATGTGGGCAGCTAGTACTGAATGAAAAGCAAAATAAAAAGATCCCGGTTTATAAAAATAATAATAACCTTCAGCCTAGAAAAACAACGATGATAGCAGTATCTGCTCAATGAACTCAGTTCACCCTCACACAACTCTCTGAGATTGAAAAAGATAGCTGTCTCCACCTTACAAGTGGGGAAACCGAGTCTCAGAGATGTTACATCAGTTGCCCAAATCCTCATAGAAGTTAAACGGCAGAGCCAGGAATTTGAGCCCAGCTCCATCTCTCTCCAAAATTGGTTCTTAAGCCCTGCGTGCCCCTTTCTGCTCCACCCCTCCTGATGTTCTCCTCTTCCTCTCTGCCTCAGGGCAGAATGGGCCAAAACCCAGTGGCCAAATCTTTAGTCAGTGCTTCACGACCAAATTCCAGCCTGGCCCATCCAACTGCTGGCTGGACGACATCTCGAACGGGACAGCCCTCTGACACCTCAAGTTCAATGTTTCCAAAATGTTGGAATCATCTTTTCACCCTTCCCCAGCCTCAAGCAATCAGCTCTGCCTTTGGAATTCTGGTTTAGTTTTGTTTCAATTTTATTGGCAGGCCCTGCTGCCGCTGGCTACGACCCATTCTTTGAGAAGCGGTCCTTCTCATGGGATCCACACTCGGCCTCCTCCCAGGCCCTCCCCTCCTCCTGCTAATGCTCTAGCTCTGGGTGTTGTTCTCATGCCCCCCTGCCCTTTTCAACTGCTTTCCTCCCGTCTTAGCTTTCCCTCTCCCAAAGCTATACTTCCAGCCATTTCTTCCCCAGCTTAGTCTCTAATCATGGCACTACCCTGCTCAAAACCCTTTACTCTCTCTCCTTTGCATGCCTGCAAAATATAAAGTATTCACTCTTCCCATGTGATGCTTCCCAATGCACCCACAATGCAACACCAACAAACACCCCACCGTGTGTACAGCATACTAAAGTCAAACTGAGTGAGCAACTTTTCCAGAAATCTCTGCTCACCTGGTACCTTGCCTCACACGATGAAATGCACTCCAGCCCTCAGGCCTTGTGACCATCTCTCTGTTCCTGCCCATGGGAGATGCCCATCTTGATGCTCCACTATCCTTTGCATCTGCATTGTCTTTCTGGCACCTCTGTGAAAGCATCTTTCAGAATCTCTAGTGTGTCTTATAACTAATTCTGTCCTTGTACTTTCCTTACAGCAGAAGCTCTGTGTCATTCTCCTCTCGGGCTCTCTTAGAGCTTTGTCTATTGTGCATGTTCAATGACACGTTGTTGAGTTGAATAGAACCAGTGAATTCTTCAAACAGTGATTTGGAAGCACATACAAAGGGAAGTCACCTGAACATGCCAAAAGCAAAAGCAAGACACTGGAGGGCCATTTTCTCCCAAAGGAATGGAAACGGAAGTGGGGAACGCTGGCATTTGAACCATGAGCTCATCAGATCCACCTGCAGCTGCTGACGGGTCTCAGGAGAGAACAGCCGCCCCCATCTCTGCCGGCAGCAGGTGGAGGAGCCAGCGCACAGAGCAACGGCCTCAAGAACAGGTTGGCTCTGAGGCAATGGCTTCTTGTGCTACAAATCTTAATTCACATAGAAAATGTAATTCATAGATGAGATTGAGAGTTGGGTCAGCTTTATCTGATTTCTCAAAAATAAAGGAAGAGCTGTGTGGTTTGACAAAGAGAGCCCAACCTGGGCTCTTCATCTGTACCAAGTGGGGCGGGGCCAGGTGGCTGCTGAGGCTTTCAGCCTAAAACTTAATGATTCTATGGCTGTCTTATTGAGATCAAGAAAAGTGGCTAAAGAGCAGCTGTTGGTTGAGAGAGAGAAAGAGAGAGAGAGAGAGAGAGAGAACACGGACTCTAGCCGGGTTCTTGGCTGAAACTCCTGAAGTCTCCTAATGAGACTTCATGGCCGAGCTCCTGAAACTGGTTCCTGTGAGGTTCCTGCAAATCAGCAATCCTCTCGTCATCCTGAGGACATGCCCTTCCAGGGAAAGTCTTCAGCACTAACAAGCCCTTTGCCTGCACACTGGCTTTTCATCCAGGACATCAAAGCCAATAATGAATGTAATTTGGAGCCCTGATTCGAGATCTTGTCTTATGGTTCCCTCCCTGACCAGTCATACTGAGACAGCAAACTATTTTCCCACAGGAGTACTTAAGTGTTTATTCTGGACTTCCTTGTCAACCGCCCACATGACAAGGCATCAGTCCCTGTTCCACGAATACAATGCTGTTTGAAATAGTCAAACACCAGTGAAATGTGCTAACTTAGGGGAAGAGTAAAATAGCGATATATTTGTGCAATGGAACACTTCATAAAATGAAGGAGGTGGATTTATATGTCCTGCCATTGAAGGATGATCTTTATATATTGTTGAATGATGAAAGCAAACTGTAGAATATGTTAACTGTAATCCCATTCTGTTTGTTATTTACATATGGATACATGTAAATATTTGTCCATGTATAAACTTACATGAGTATAAATATGTATAGGAGAAAATAACCAGTAAATTATTGATGGAGAACGCCCCAGAGAATGGATAGAGGTGGGTTTCACCTTTCTCTTTGCGTTCAGTTGCATGGTTTAAATTTTTGTCAATGAGTGTATCTTATTAAGTAGTTTATAATAATAACAACAACAATCTTTTTTAAACCTGGCATTCACCACTATTTAGCCCAAACAAATATACGTATTTCACACAGCCAACACAAGTATCCTTTGTCCAGGTCCCAGAATCTGAGGTTTCTTAAAAGGTTGGAAAGATACACCTCAAAGCAGATCTTGCATTTCCAAGTTCCTTTGGACAGACACACTTTTAAAATAATACAGGAAATGACAAGTACTCCTTTTTAAGAAGGCCCCTCATCTTCAAAGACAAGTAAAGCGATGAGGCCGCCTCTATTTGTTGTAAATTAAATTTGAAGCAAGATTTTAAATGAATGTGTTTCCTAAAGCAAAGGTTCCTTAGAAATGTATTACTAAGAGGAGCCATAGGTGAAATAGTGGTGGAGTGACACCCTTCCTAACATACCTGTCCCAGTGCCTCTCCCAGCCAGGCCATGCCTGCTTGACTTCTGAAAATACGGGTGACCATACGCTCCTTTCCTAGGAGTCAGCAATCCTAGGGACCAGAGCCAACTAGTTGCAGGGGCTACACTCCCTCAGGTCAGCTAAGAACATGGTGCACAGTGTTCACAGTGTCCCTGAGTGTGTGGAATATTAGGAGGAGTGGGCGCACTCTGAAAACCCAGGTACCCTTCAGCTACATGAGGACCAGCTAAATACAGAATGCTCGTGTGCACCAGAGTAAACCAAAGAGCGTCTGTGTCACTTACAAAAGCCTCACAAGAAGGTGCCCTTTGAACCCCATGTCCTGTGATTCCTTTGCTACACACAGGTGATCTGCAGAACAGCCACATGGACACCACTGAAGACCTTCTTAAAATGCAGGGTCTCAGGCCTCACCCGGGGCCTACTGCACCCTCTGCACACAGCATTGCTGCTCCTGAGAGCTCTGGACGGCAGGCTTCCTGCCTGGGCTTCCTGACTCCTAACAGGACCTGTTTAGGCTCAAGGAGATACTTGAGCCTAAACCCAACTTGAGATCCCAAATCCATAGGGCATGAAGGAGGTCACAGAAGAGAAAGGGACAAGAAGGTACGGTGCCCGCACTTCCCTGTATGAGGCTGGGATGTGTATGGCCAGCAGGCCAGGTGCCCACCGCCAACCAGTTTCACCAGGAGGAAGCTGACAGGGGTGCCCAGCAAGGCAGGCGGCTCAGCCCCCGGAAAGGACTGCAGGATGGCGGCAGGTGTGGCTGGGGTGACAGGCCCCCCGGGTGGGCACCTCCAAGCTCAAGAGAAGGGGGAACCAGGCTTTGAGTGCCAACCTCAGGAGAGGGAGAGGGAGGAAAGGAGGAAGGGAACGCGGCCGGGCCAGCCCCCCAGCTGTCAGACAGACACAGGCGGAGAGCAGGAGGGCTAGAGGAGGACCAGACATCAGACCCTCAGCACATTCCCAGCTGGACAGACAGACCCCGGACACGGGCTGGCAGCTGGAGGCCTGACTCACAGGTGCGCGATGCCCGCCTTGCGCACGGCCGTGGAGATGGCTTTGACCGCGGTGCAGAGCGCGTTGAGCAGCTGGGTCATCTCGCCGGTGCCGCGGGCCTTCCTGCCCTCCTCCATGACGAAGCGGGTCAGGGTGACGATATTCGTGTCGAAGGCCGCCTGGTCCGTCATGCTGGGGCCGGGCTGTGCGTGCCGGGTGGCGAGGACGAGCAGGACAGCGCGGGCCGCTGGGAGGGTCGG